ATTACTGTGTAGTGAAGGTGAAAGTGTATGGATAGTCTCAACGTACAGTGTACCACCATTACTGTGTAGTGAAGGTGAAAGTGTATGGATGGTCTCAACGTACAGTGTACCATCATTACTGTGTAGTGAAGGTGAAAGTGTATATATGGTCTCAACGTACAGTGTACCACCATTACTGTGTAGTGAAGGTGAAAGTGTATGGATGGTCTCAACGTACAGTGTACCACCATTACTGTGTAGTGAAGGTGAAAGTGTATGGATAGTCTCAACGTACAGTGTACCACCATTACTGTGTAGTGAAGGTGAAAGTGTATGGATGGTCTCAACGTACAGTGTACCACCATTACTGTGTAGTGAAGGTGAAAGTGTATGGATGGTCTCAACGTACAGTGTACCACCATTACTGTGTAGTGAAGGTGAAAGTGTATGGATGGTCTCAACGTACAGTGTACCACCATTACTGTGTAGTGAAGGTGAAAGTGTATGGATAGTCTCAACGTACAGTGTACCACCATTACTGTGTAGTGAAGGTGAAAGTGTATGGATAGTCTCAACGTACAGTGTACCACCATTACTGTGTAGTGAAGGTGAAAGTGTATGGATAGTCTCAACGTACAGTGTACCACCATTACTGTGTGTAGTGAAGGTGAAAGTGTATGGATAGTCTCAACGTACAGTGTACCACCATTACTGTGTAGTGAAGGTGAAAGTGTATGGATAGTCTCAATGTGCAGTGTTACCACCAATACTGTGTAGTGAAGGTGAAAGTGTATGGATGGTCTCAACGTGTAGTGTACCACCATTACTGTGTAGTGAAGGTGAAAGTGTATGGATAGTCTCAACGTACAGTGTACCACCATTACTGTGTAGTGAAGGTGAAAGTGTATGGATGGTCTCAACGTACAGTGTACCATCATTACTGTGTAGTGAAGGTGAAAGTGTATATATGGTCTCAACGTACAGTGTACCACCATTACTGTGTAGTGAAGGTGAAAGTGTATGGATGGTCTCAACGTACAGTGTACCACCATTACTGTGTAGTGAAGGTGAAAGTGTATGGATAGTCTCAACGTACAGTGTACCACCATTACTGTGTAGTGAAGGTGAAAGTGTATGGATGGTCTCAACGTACAGTGTACCACCATTACTGTGTAGTGAAGGTGAAAGTGTATGGATGGTCTCAACGTACAGTGTACCACCATTACTGTGTAGTGAAGGTGAAAGTGTATGGATGGTCTCAACGTACAGTGTACCACCATTACTGTGTAGTGAAGGTGAAAGTGTATGGATAGTCTCAACGTACAGTGTACCACCATTACTGTGTAGTGAAGGTGAAAGTGTATGGATAGTCTCAACGTACAGTGTACCACCATTACTGTGTAGTGAAGGTGAAAGTGTATGGATAGTCTCAACGTACAGTGTACCACCATTACTGTGTAGTGAAGGTGAAAGTGTATGGATAGTCTCAACGTACAGTGTACCACCATTACTGTGTAGTGAAGGTGAAAGTGTATGGATAGTCTCAATGTGCAGTGTTACCACCAATACTGTGTAGTGAAGGTGAAAGTGTATGGATGGTCTCAACGTGTAGTGTACCACCATTACTGTGTAGTGAAGGTGAAAGTGTATGGATAGTCTCAACGTACAGTGTACCACCATTACTGTGTAGTGAAGGTGAAAGTGTATGGATAGTCTCAACGTACAGTGTACCACCATTACCCTCTTGTATAAATTTATGTATTCGTTGTGCACAATTCTTCTTCTTCTTCTTCTTCTTGGCGGTCACCAGCTGTAAACTCTGACGGAAAGTTAAGGTTGTTCATCCACTTTTGGACTGCAGTCCTGTTCCAAAACCTGAGTGTTGCGTGTGCATCCGTTTTACAGATAACTTATTTGTATGCAGACTGCTGGTTCCTTGCCTCTTAGGCAGATGCACTCAGACTTCGAAGAAAGCTCCCAATTAGTCGATTCTTACGACATGCTTTTGGGTAGGCAGTGGGTCTATTCTTGTTTTCCCTATAACAGGGCCCCGGAAGCCATACAGAGATTTACAATACAGAAATTCAATTGGAAGTCGAAAATGTGTTTACAGGACTAATAAATAAGCAGGATCCGACCCAACGACCTTGCGATCCAGAGACAAACGCCTAGCCGCTACACCATGGCGGCTCCCTTAACATATTGTAGCAGCAGGAAATATTAAAGAGGGGGTAGAAAAGATAAAGAAAACAATAGGAGATGATTCTTGATAGTTTTTCACCAAGGAAAATTATCAGTACACAAACTAATATATTCTGTTAGAGAAGGCGAGATTTGCAGAAACGTGATCGCCCAGGCTAGTCTCAAGGTGCTAGATTTTCGGTGACTGGCTAGTTTGTTGTCTCATTACCAGGTGATATTTCGCGTGCTGGCACCGACGGTTCAAATCCAGGATCCTTACAGCGAGGCAGTGCAGGACCTACTCAAGCTCACCAACTTACGCATCAACTTTACAGAGCTGCACACACTAGGTAAGGGGTACCGACCGTTCACTTAAACGCATTATAACCCAAAAAATATTAACTGAACCACTTTCTCTTAAATATTGCCTTCATTTTTCCCCCTTGTGCTTTCGCTCTTATTAGGGCAGCTAACAGGTCGAGCTCTTGTTAACATTAAATAAGTAACGGATTCTTGTCCACGCCTTCAAGCGTATTGGGCAGATAGGGTTAGACTTATATTTTATAGACTAGGCACTCGGTAGGTTATGTGTTCAGCACCACGTCAGCCGTCTTTACTTCCAAGACTGTGCGTGGTAAGCATTTAAGACAGGGTCAACCTGGGAGATTAGGCATTTTTGAAAAAGAAAAAAAAAAAAACCCGTTAAACTCAGCCAGGACCCGAACAAACAGACTTCCGATCCGCAGGCAGTAGCCTCAACTCTAACCACTACACCAAGGTAACGCTGCTAAATCTCAGTCCAAAACTTTTTGTTTCAACAAACTAATAATTAGACGACTTTGTACGACATGCTTGGCACGTGCATGTATATGTTATGTGGGGTTATGTTATCGCAGATAACGCACATATGGTTTTCCACATTCGGGCTCAGTCTTCCGATGTTACAGCCACCCAGAGGTACTTCTAGTGATTGTTCGCATGAGGACTTTATTATAATTTCTCCCATCTTTGCCTCGAAGTAGCTTCACCATGCTTTACTCCCAGGTCACGCAAATTTGTATTGTGTTGGTTACTTGCTTATATAAGTACTTATGTGTATGTGTATATAGTGTCTGGCTTGTGTAAGTACATGTCTCTATGTGTATGTTAGTGTGCTGATGTCTGGTTTGTATAAGTACATGTGTGTATGTTAGTGTGTTGATGTCTGATTGTATTATTTCATGTGTGTAAGTGTATGTTAGTGTGTGGGTGTCTCACTTGTATTATTTCATGTGTGTAAGTGTATGTTAAAGGTACAAACAATGCCATATAAATCCTTCATAGACTATACAAAGGCATTTGACTGTGTGAAGCATGAAGAAGTAATCAAACTGTTAGAAAAATCAAACTTTGATGAGAAAGATCTACGAATAATAAAGAATATGTATTGGCAGCAAACAGCAGCAATAAAAATTAACAACTGTTTATGTACATTTCAAAGCATAAAGAGGGGCGTACGACAAGGATGTGTACTGTCACTTGATTTGTTTTCAATATACAGTGAATATATAATGAGAGCTTTAATTGGTATGCCCAGAATTGTGGTTGGTGGGCACAATATAAACAATTTACGTCATGCTGATGACACAGTCTTGATAGCAACAAGTCAGAAAGAACTACAGGAAATGATAGACATTGTGGTGTTAGAAAATGGATGAATGGGCCTCAGTTTGAATAATGGAAAGACAGAAGTAACGGTGGTATCAAAGAAATTAATTATTCCTAAGTGTGTAATAAAAGTTGATGGTGTTATTTTAGGACAAGTACAGAAATTTAAGAATATGGGCACATGGATAACATCAGATGAAAGATGCATAAGTGAGATAAGAAACGGAATAGGACAGGCAAAAACTGCATTTCGTAAAATGAAAAACATCTTGTGCAATATATCCTTGTCATTGAGAGTTAGAAAAAGAATTCTTGCTTGCTACATACATCCAGTTTTAACATATGGCTGTGAATCCTGGACAATCGATAGGCAGGCCAAACAATTTCTGGAGGCCTCGGAGATGTGGTTTTACAGAAGAATGCTTAGAATACCTTGGACAGCCAAAAAGAGCAACCAAGAGGTTTTGAAAGAGGCGGGCGCCCGAAGACAACTTATCACAGACATCAGAAGGAGACAGTCATCCTTTTTCGGCCATGTTATGAGAAGAGGGAAAATAGAACATGTTGTGACCACTGGAAAGATATGTGGAAGGAGAGATAGAGGAAGACAACGAGAGAAGATGCTTGACAGTCTTGTTGTATGGCATGAGGTATGTCGGCACATGAACTGATACGTGCTGCAGGAGATCGCAGATTATGGAGAGGCATGTTCGCCCACGCCAGTCGGCAAGGCACCTGATGATGATGAAGTGTATGTTAGTGTGTGGGCGTCTGACTTGTATTATTTCATGTGTGTAAGTGTATGTTAGTGTGTGGGTGTCTGGCTTGTATAAGTACGTGTATGTATCTGTATGTTAGTATGCTGGTGACTTTCGTGTATGTTTACACGTCTCCATGTAAGTATAACAGCTTAGCTTTTGTTGGCTGTTTTCAAGTTGCAAATTAACCTAGACCTGTGTTAGTGTGGGGTGGTTACCGGTGTTTAGGTTTGTGTAAGAGAATGTGTGTGGGTGTAAAATATGGGGGTTACCTGTTCAGGCTGAGGTGAAACCCTGCACAAAATACAGGACAGCCTCATTACAGCGTGTGGTGGCTAACACTGGGTTCCGGCCTGTTTTGACAGACATTGACAGCATGTCATACTGGGGTTTTCTTTCGGAGGAGAAGTGAAGGAGAGAGAGAGAGATAGGCAGGCAGACAGACTGACAGACAGATGGACAGACGTACGGACAGACAGAGAAAAGGTGAAATAGCGACGGACACTTGCTGACACAAAAAAAACAGGGAGAGACAGAGAAACAAAGACATGGAGAGACAGTGAGACAGAGAGACAAAGACATAGGGAGACAGTGAAACAGAGAGACAAAGACATGGGGAGACAGTGAGACAGTTAGACAAAGACATGGGGAGACAGTGAGACAGAGAAACAAAGATATGGGAAGACAGTGAGACACAGAAACAAAGACATGGGGAGACAGTGAGACAAATAGAAACAAAGACATGGGGAGACAGTGAAGCAGAGAAAAAAGACACGGGGAGACAGTGAGACAGTGAGAAACAAAGACATAGGGAGACAGTGAGACAGAGAAACAAAGACATGGGGAGACAGTGAGACAGAGAAACAAAGACATGGGGAGACAGTGAAGCAGAGAGAAACAAAGACATTGGGAGACAGTGAGACAGAGGAACAAAGACATGGGAAGACAGTGAGACAGAGAAACGTAGACATGGGGAGTCAGTGAGACAGAGAAACAAAGACATGGGGAGACAGTGAGACAGAGAGAAACAAAGACATGGGGAGACAATGAGACAGAGAAACAAAGACATGGGGAGACAGTGAGACAGAGAGAAACAAAGACATGGGGAGACAGTGAGACAGAGAAACAAAGACATGGGGAGTCAGTGAGACAGAGAAACAAAGACATGGGGAGTCAGTGAGACAGAGAGAAACAAAGACATGGGGAGACAGTGAGACAGAGAAACAAAGACATGGGGAGACAGTGAGACATAGAAACAAAGACATGGGGAGACAGTGAGACAAAGAAACAAAGACATAGGGAGACAGTGAGACAGAGAAACAAAGACATAGGGAGACAGTGAGACAGAGAGAAACAAAGACATGGGGAGACAGTGAGACAGAGAGAAACAAAGACATAGGGAGACAGTGAGACAGAGAGAAACAAAGACATGGGGAGACAGTGAGACAGAGAAACAAAGACATGGAGAGACAGTGAGACATAGAGAAACAAAGACATGGGGAGACAGTGAGACAGAGAAACAAAGACATGGGGAGTCAGTGAGACAGAGAAACAAAGACATGGGGAGACAGTGAGACAGAGAGAAACAAAGACATGGGAAGACAGTGAGACAGAGAAATACAGACATGGGGAGAAGTGAGACAGAGAAACAAAGACATGGGGAGACAGTGAGACATAGAAACAAAGACATGGGGAGACAGTGAGACAAAGAAACAAAGACATAGGGAGACAGTGAGACAGAGAGAAACAAAGACATGGGGAGACAGTGAGACAGAGAGAAACAAAGACATGGGGAGACAGAGAAACAAAGACATTGGGAGACAGTGAGACGGAGAAACAAAGAAATGGGGAGACAGTGAGACATAGAAATAAAGACATGGGGAGACAGTGAGACAGAGAAACAAAGTCATGGGAAGACAGTGAGACAGAGAAACAAAGACATGGGGAGACAGTGAGACATAGAAACAAAGACATGGGGAGACAGTGAGACAGAGAAACAAAGACATAGGGAGACAGTGAGACAGAGAAATACAGACATGGGGAGACAGTGAGACAGAGAAATACAGACATGGGGAGACAATGAGACAGAGAAACAAAGACATGGGGAGACAGTGAGACAGAGAAATACAGACATGGGGAGAAGTGAGACAGTTAGACAAAGACATGGGGAGACAGTCAGACAGAGAAACAAAGATATGGGAAGACAGTGAGACACAGAAACAAAGACATGGGGAGACATTGAGACAAATAGAAACAAAGACATGGGGAGACAGTGAAGTAGAGAAAAAAGACACGGGGAGACAGTGAGACAGTGAGAAACAAAGACATGGGGAGACAGTGAGACAGAGAAACAAAGACATGGGGAGACAGTGAAGCAGAGAGAAACAAAGACATTGGGAGACAGTGAGACAGAGGAACAAAGACATGGGAAGACAGTGAGACAGAGAAACGTAGACATGGGGAGTCAGTGAGACAGAGAAACAAAGACATGGGGAGACAGTGAGACAGAGAGAAACAAAGACATGGGGAGACAATGAGACAGAGAAACAAGACATGGGGAGACAGTGAGACAGAGAGAAACAAAGACATGGGGAGACAGTGAGACAGAGAAACAAAGACATGGGGAGTCAGTGAGACAGAGAAACAAAGACATGGGGAGTCAGTGAGACAGAGAGAAACAAAGACATGGGGAGACAGTGAGACAGAGAAACAAAGACATAGGGAGACAGTGAGACATAGAAACAAAGACATGGGGAGACAGTGAGACAAAGAAACAAAGACATAGGGAGACAGTGAGACAGAGAAACAAAGACATAGGGAGACAGTGAGACAGAGAGAAACAAAGACATGGGGAGACAGTGAGACAGAGAGAAACAAAGACATAGGGAGACAGTGAGACAGAGAGAAACAAAGACATGGGGAGACAGTGAGACAGAGAAACAAAG